TAATCTCTCCCTTAAGCATAGTACGTTCTCAAAAATAGACTGACATTGGCACAATTCAGTTTACTCAGACACAGACCTTGTTTGAATTTCACCAGTTTGTTAGGCCTTTTTAATGTGTAATTCAATGAAGTTTCATCACATGTGAGGATTCAAAGAGCTAGTACCACAACCATCGGCTGAAAGAAACTCCCTCGTTTTATCTGCAAATAATGACACCTTTCCCCAGTCCTGACCCCTGGTGACCACTGAGCAATCTCACTGCAGTTCTGCCGCGTGGAGAATGTTGCGTGAGCGGAGGGGCACCGACACAGCGCTTTGCCATCGGCTCCCCCCCCCCCCCCCCCCCCCGCATATCCTGCTTGTGCTGAGTCGCTCAGGCCTGTCTGGCTCTGCTTACTCCGTGGGCTGTAGCCCGTCAGGTCCTCTGCCCATGGGATTCTCCAGGCAGGAATACTGGGGTGGGTTCCCATGCTCTTCTCCAGGGGATCTTCGTGACCCAGGGATCACACCCATGTCTCTTGCATCTCCTGCATTTGCAGGAAGCCAATGCAGCCTAGGAAGCCCCTAACTTGCTTGTTCAGTTCAGTTCAGTCACTCAGTTGTGTCCGACTCAATGCTTTGCAACCCCATGGGCTGCAGCACACCAGGCCTCCCTGTCTATCATCCACTCCCGGAGTTTACTCAAACTCATGTCCATCGGGTCGGTGATGCCATCCAACCATCTCATCCTCTGTCATCCCCTTCTCCTCCTGCCGTCAATCTTTCCCAGCATCAGAGTCTTTTCCAATGAGTCAGTTCTTCGCATCAGGTGGCCAAAGTATTGGAGTTTCAGCTTCAGCATCAGTCCTTCAAATCAATATTCCGGACTGATTTCCTTTAGGATTGACTGGTTTTATCTCCTTGCAGTTCAAGGGACCCTCAAGAGTCTTCTCCAACACCACAGTTCAAAAGCATCAATTCTTTGGTGCTCAGCTTTCTTTATAGAACTCTCACATCCATACATGACCACTGGAAAAACCATAGCCTTGACTAGGCCGACCTTTGTTGGCAAAGTAATGTCTCTGCTTTTTAATATGCTGTCTAGGTGGGTCATAACTTTCCTTCCAAGGAGTGAGTGTCTTTTAATCTCATGACTGCAATCACCATCTGCAGCAATTTTGGAGCCCCAAAAATAAAGTCTCTCAGTGTCTCCATTGTATCCCCACCTATTTGACATAAGTTGATGGGACCAGATACCATGATCTTAGCTGAGATTTAAGTCAACTTTTTCACTCTCCTCTTTCTACAAGCTATAGACTTGTAGCTATATAGCAAGTCTTCAAGTCATATATTGTTCTTCTAATTATATTGTTTTTTAAAATTGCTTCAAATATTCTAGTTCCTTTATCTTTCTATATACCTTTTAGAAGCAGCTGAGAAGAGGAATCCTGCTAGCATTTTGATAAGAATTTCTTTAGAATTTGGGAGAATCGACATCTTAACTATGTTGAGTTTCCCAGTCCATGAACCTGGTATGTCTCTCCATCTCCGTGACTGTCTTTTGATTTTGCTCATTAGCACCTTGTAGTTTTCAGCATGCAGAGCTGTACTGTTGTTGTTGCCATTAGACGCACGTGCTTTCTCTTTTTGGAGAGTTTATGACTATACTGTGCTCTGAGCTTTGGTTTCTGGTTTTTTGTTCCTGTCTGTAGATGTAATGATTGATTTTCGCTGTGTTAACCTGGTATCTTATGACTTTGGTAAACTCAAACTCATTTGTAAGCTCCAAGAGTTTGTTCTCTTGTTTGTTTTGTATGTTTTTTAGGCCTCTGTGCACAATCGAGTCTCTCCACGTGTGGAGTCTGGGAAAGCCCAGCTCCCCGCGGGCTCCCGCGTCAGCAGTCCTCCCTGGAGCCCCAGCACCTCTGCGGCCCGCGGACGGCCCCTGCTTCTTCTCCTATTTGTGGTCACTGCTCCCCAGTGTCCGTGTCCCCCAGGCCCTGCCCTTGGCTGCTCTGTTCTAGATCCTAAGATTTACCCCAAGGCTGACACCCTCTGGTCTGGTTCACTCCCGGCTTTTTTTTTTTAATGTTTGTTTGGCTGCACCAGGTCCTAGCTGTGGCACTTGGGATACTCGATCTTCATTACACGGGCAGGATCTTTACTTGTGGCATGTGAACGCTTAGCTGTTCATGTGGGACCGAGTTCCCCAAGCAGGGATCCAAACTGGGCGGCCTGCTTTGGGAGCTCAGAGCCTTACGATCTCCAGGGAAGTCCTTCGTTGTCAGCGCTGCTGCCATCACGTGCTCTGAGAGCTTCTAGATCTGTGAAGACCCACCCTCCAGGCCTCCACGCCTGACTGCCTCCGGGATGTCTCCATCTTCGATGTCCTGTGGATACTGTGAATGTGACCTGTCCTCATCTGCACACTTGTCTCTCCTCCTGGGATGGACAGAGCTGTAAAGTGACCCCGAGTGACCCTCCTCCTCATGGAATCTCCTTCTGAGTGTGTGCAGAGCTTGTGATTACTACGAGGTATCATGGGACATGTTTGGTTATATGGCAGACGGGATGTTTGCAGATATAGCTAAGGTCCCTGATCAGTTGAGTTCCTCAAAAGGGAGGCTGCGTGGGTGGGCCTGCCTGAATCTGTGTGTTAGTTGTATAGTCATGCCTGACTTTTTGTGACCTGGGGCCTGCCAGGCTCCTCTGTCCATGGAATTCTCTAGGCAAGAATACTGAAGTGGGTTGCCATTTCCTTCTCGAGGGCATCTTCCTGATCCAGGGATTGAACCCACGTCTCCAGCATTGCAGGCAGATTCTTTACCACTTCAGATTCCACCACGGAAGCCCGAACCCGGGGAGCTCTGAGATGTTGGAGGCTGTGAGTCGGAGAGAAGCAGTCCTGCTGGCCGGGGAGGAGCACAACGTGTTGCGCACAGTCTGCGGGAGCGCGGGCCCCGGAGCTGTGGGCCCTCCTGCGGCTGAGAACGATCCCTGGCTGAGAGGGCTCAAGAAACTGGGAGACGCATTCTTCACACACCCCGCGTGGGGAGGGGAGGGGAGGGCCCGGGGCCTCAGATGAGAGGTGCGTGCAGTCGGCCCTTGACTGCAGCCTCGTGAGACCCCACGGGGGCTGCCTGCTGACCCACGTCTGGGCTTCAGACCTGGGGAAGCTGTGAGATAGTAAACAAGTGTGTGCTATATTGATCAGCCCCCAAGTTGCGGTCATTGGTGGCCCAACAACAGAAAACGAATACACCTCCTCTTAGCACCGTGCGGTCCAGGGCCAGCCCCCACCACCTGGCCGCCTGGAGCCATGTCGCTCTCCACATCCCCAAACATCTCAGTGAGCCCGTCCCCCCGGCTGGGGCCTTTTCACCCATGTGTCTGCTGCCCCACCTGCTTGAGTTAGGCTCTTGATGACCCCCCCGACCAAACGGATTTCCAGCCAGCCTGCTTCCAACCTCATCCAGTGGCTCTTCAGTCTTTAATAAAAGATCAAACTCCTTTCGTAAGAGCCGGGAGGGTCCTCCGCAGCCTCACCTGCGCCTGATCGTATGCCTTCCGTGAGCCGTGGTGTGAAGATGCCGTGCCTGTGGCATCCTGAGTACTTGGCGTGAGCCAGGCTCTCCAGCTTCACCACGACACTGAGGTGGACTCTCACTGACCCCCATTTTCCAGGTGAGAAAACCGAGGCAGGGGCCCAGGTTACCTGGCAAGGTCACACTGTATCTGGTACTGACTACAGAGCCGAGTGCTTCCCCAGCAGCCCTCACGCCGCGGAGCGTGTGTCCCTGCCCCCAGACAAGCTTCCTGAGCCTGCGCACCCCTCCCGAGTGCCCCCAACCCCTCCTCGCCCCCCTACGAATGGGCTGAGTCCCTCTGCGGAGTCCCCGCCACACTCCTCTCCCCAGGCAGCCGTGTGTCTCACTCATTCCGTAACAGACACCAATGTGGGCCATGCACACTAGGTCTCCGTCAGTGTGTGAGGAAAACAGAGAGTGGGCTGGTCGGGCAGGACGCCGGGAGAGGACAGTGGTCAGGGTGGAAGCAGATTTGTGGATTTTACTCACAAGGTAGGAGCTGGAAAAAATTTCATCATGAGAATGTGTCTTGTGCAGAGGAAGAGCGTTTATTGAAGGATTTAACAATGGCCAGTGTGGCCCAAAATATGCCAAGGAAGAGAGTGGGAGGCATTCAGGACTGGGGGGTGGCTGGCAAGGCCCTGGAGAGGAGCCCAGCGGGACCCAGGGGCCCAGGCTCTAAAGACCATGAGGTGCCAGGAGCAAGGGCCACGGGAGCCCCTTTGGGTGGCGCTGGAAGCGGGGGCAGCTTTCCGTTAGGGGGTGATGGGCATGAGCTTGACGCCCTCCTTGTGTGCCTTCATCTGCAGCTGGGCTGGGTATGCCCCTCTGGAGACTGAGGACAGAAATTCTGGAGGATTTAACACTACAACTTCAGGGCTGTGACATGCAGCCCAGGACATATCCTGAGATGCCTGAAGCTGGAAGAATTACATGGATCTGTGGCTAGAGCCTCAGATCTTGCGCTGGCAGCACACAGGGACACAGCAGCTGGACTGGGAGCAGCAGGGTCTGCAGCAGCTGGACTGGGAGCAGCAAACGGGGACACAGCAGCTGGACTGGGAGCAGCAGGGTCTGCAGCAGCTGGACTGGGAGCAGCAGGGTCTGCAGCAGCTGGACTGGGAGCAGCCACACGAGCCACACCCCCCTTTGCCGCAGCCGGAGCAGGAGCAGGCTGGCACACAGCAGCAGACGGGCACACAGCAGCTGGAGCCGCAGCCCCCCTTGGAGCCCCCACATGAGCCACAGCCCCCCTTGGAGCCCCTGCATGAGCCATAGGGTCTGCAGCAGCTGGACTGGGAGCAGCAAACGGGCACACAGCAGCTGGACTGGGAGCAGCCACACGAGCCACAGCCCCCCTTGGAGCCCCCACAGGAGCCACAGCCCCCCTTGGAGCCCCCACAGGAGCCGCAGCCCCCCTTGGAGCCCCCACACGAGCCACAGCCCCCCTTAGACCCCCCACACGAGCCACAGCCCCCTTTGCCATAGCCGGAGCAGGAGCAGGCTGGCACACAGGAGCAGACGGGCACACAGCAGCTGGAGCCGCAGCCTCCGGAACAGCCAGAGCAGCCCATGGTTCTGGTGGGTTGAGGGTGGAGCAGGTCAGAGGAGCAGGTGGAGAGAGAGAAGGTGCTCAGTGTGGGGCCTCTGGGGCCAGGAGCCTTTATATACCTGCCAGGTGTTTATATTCAACACATGACTTCCTCTTGTGTGTTTACCTATTTCAAACACACACGTTCTTAAACTCTTTACAGTCCCGTGAGCCCCCAGTAGCTCACGCCGAGGTCTGCTTCCTTGATTTCTAAATGCGGTTTCCTCCTCACGGTGTTTTTGTAAACAGAGCCGGTGCTCCCAGCTCAGGAAGCCCTGAGATCCGATCCCCCTGGGCAGCGGGTCACCATCCTTGGTTTTCCTATTTCTGCTCATTGATAAAGATCCTCTGTAAGGTTCTATTTCTCTTCTTAAAAATCAATTGGTGTCATTTCTGTAAATAAAAGTGTTGAGCAGAAAAATAAAAGACTACTTATAGTTCTCAAATCTCGACACTGCCTGCCTCAATATTTTGTTGAATTTGAGAGGCAGGATTTGAAGTCCTTCACCTTTGTGACCTTCCTGTTTTCTTGCTTCCGGCCTTCCCTCGGCTCACTTCATCCCCCCAAACACGAATTAGACCCAGTGTTCTTCTGTTCACGGGACCCGGCTTCACAAATTGCTGCGACTCCTCTTATGCTTTTTAGTTTTCTTCAGTCCATTTTAATAAAAATCCCATGAGTCAACTGACATAATGCACACTGACTGTCTTTGAGGGCTGCGAAAATAGTTTGGGTGGATTGGCCACCATTTGCTTAGACATCTTCGCCGATGGAACTTCATTTCCTAGGAAACTGATTTTAGTTTTCCTATTGAGGTGACAGTTACATCCAGAGATGTAATTCAAGTGTTTTGAGTCTGTGACCCCACCAGTTTTGCTCAGCAGGCTGTGATGTAACTGCCACCCTGGTCGTGGTGGACGGCCTCCAGCATGCAGGGTCTCTGGTCCTTCCAGCCTCCGTCCCCAGGCCCACGGCCCCCTCCCTTCTGACTGGTTTTGCCTGTTGTTGGACGCACATAAACGCTATCGTAAAGCATATATCCTGGCCTCTTTCACTCGGCGTCTGTGTCTCAGAGACAAGCATAAACTTTTAATCGCCAGGTAGTGTCCCAGGTGAAAGTGTGCTCCGGGGGGACCCCTTTCACCCCCTTGTTCACAGGTACCTGCATTGTGTCCAGTGCTGGGCCATGACGAATAAGACGCCCATGAACATTCTTGCGCAGTTACTGTTTTACTGGCCTATGACTGACGTACAATATTGTTAGGTTCAGGCGCGCAGCAGCATGTTCAGTCACATGTACATGCACGCGTCTTTCTGAGAATGTGTCTTATTTCGGTTACACGTGTACAAGTGGGCTTGTGGACTGTGGGTGGGGGACCGAGGCAAGGGTTTAACTTCATCAGAGTTTCCATGACAGTTTCCATGACACTCATGCCATTTTCAACCTTGCTGGTGGGTTTGAGAGTACCAGCGGCCCCTGTCTCCCCTTATATTTGCAGATCTTAAAAATCTGCAGTGTTCCCATGGGTGTGCAGTGATGGCTCCCGTTCACCTTGAGTTGCATCCCTCTGGTGACTAAGGTTGTTGAGCACCTTCACACATGCTTATTGGCCATTTGTATACTTTCCTGGAAGAAATGTTTGTTCTACTTTGGGGCCCATTTTAGTGTGGGTTTTTATTTGTTTTTCTTTTTTTCCATGATTGATTTATTGGAATTCTCACAAATTATATCTAAATAAACTGTATATATATATATATATATACACACATATATAGGGTTTTTATTTGTTTTTCTTTTTTTCCATGATTGATTTATTGGAATTCTCACAAATTATATCTAAATAAACTGTATATATATATATATACACACATATATATATATATGTATATATATATATACACACACATATATATATATATGTATATATATATATACACACACATAATATATATATTTCTCCTATTATCTGCTTTGCCTCATTATTGTCTTGATATCTTTTTTCAATTTAAAGATTATTTTGATGCAGACCATTTTTAAAGTCTTTGTTGAATTCATTGCAGTATTGCTGCTGTTTTTTGTTTTGGCTTTTTGGCTGTGAAGCAAAAAGAGTCTTAGCTCCCTGACCAGGGATCAAACCCACACCCCCTGCATTGGAAGGTGAAGTCTTAACTACTGGGCCACCTGGGAAGTCCCTGTCTTGATATCTTAATTGCATACTTTAATAGGATTTTTTTTTTTTACTTTCATGATCTAATTGAACATTTTTATCTTTGATGGTTAGTGTGCCTTCTTCTGAGCCCTCTGAAAAATCTGCTAGCTTTCCTTCTGGGAGCGTTCATTTTTGTTTTTATGTTTAGCTCTGTGATGGACGGCAAACTTGATTCGTGTGAGTGAGTGTCGGGCAGGAGTTCATTTCCCTCACTCACCCGGCTGCCTCAGCATCTGCGGCTGCAAAACCGCGACAGCCGGGGGATAAACTGCATCGCATCAGGGGGGTGACGGGAGCAGAATCGTTCTAGAAATGGCTGGCTGGGCGGTGGACGTTTTCAAGACTTGAAGCCCCTTCCCCACCCCCGGGGTAACCCTGGGCCAGGCGGGCGGGGCAGAGGGGTGGGGGCCGAGGGGCCTCCTGGGCAGCTCTTGAAGGAGGTTCCGGGGGTGGGCAGCTGCTCCTGAAATGGGCAGGAGGAGCGATGGGGATGGAGCCAGGACTCCACAGGCGGCCTGGTTCCTTCTGTCGCACCAGCACCTCTCGGTTCTGCTGTTGAAACACATTAGGGATCTGGCTGGCTTCCCTGGTGGCCCAGACAGTAAAACGTCTGTCTGCCATGCGGGAGAACGGTTCGATCTCTGGGTCGGGAAGATCCCTTGGAGAGGGAGATGGCCATCCGCTCCAGTACTGTTGCCTGGAGAATTCCATGGTCGGAGATGTCTGGTGGGCTGCAGTGCACGGGGTCTCAAAGAGTCGGACACGACTGAGCGACTCCACGTCTTTCACCACCTTCGCCGCCGCTGCCCGACAGGCGCAGCACTTTCTACACACCGGCTCCACAGCCCTAACCAGAACCGCTGCGACAGCCATACTCTTACCTGGGGGTGACTGCATATTCCCTGCCTGCAGGCTTGGCCCCCTGCAAGGCCTTGGAGAGGTTTGCGCTTAGAGTGGGTACGTTTTAGTTGGAATCTTGGCGTCCTTGGCTGCTCTACCACCTTCTAAGTGTTTCTGCTGACCAGTGGGGCATGAGAATTCATTCCAGCCCCGCAAGTGTGAATTTCTGAGCCCTGAGGGCACCCAGGAAGGAGAGCAACGCTTGCCACCTGGTAACCAACCAGGCTGCGGCCCCTGCCTTCCGGGAGCGCGGAGGAGCTCAGGACGGCGGCCCCAGACAGCTGAGATGCACACGAAAGGAATGGCTTCAGTGAGCCCAGACTCCCGCATCTTCCCATACCTAGAAAAGCACTGGATCCCTTGTTGCAAACGTCTGCGTAGCCTGACCCCTCCCCCTGCCTCCAAGGAGCAGCTCTCTCAGGACTGCTTGAGATGCTGCCTCCCAGGCTTCAGTCCTAAAGCCCCACCTCGGAAATAAAGCTTGGCTCTCAACTTTGAGGCTGTGACCAGTTCTTAGGCGGACATGTCAGATTTCCCCTCTGACTGTAAAGCAAGCGGTCCTTTAAACATCACGCTTTTCTCCAAATACTTTGCTGGCCGCAGCCGCAGCCACTACCCGGGGCAGCGCGGAGCCGTCTGCGTGCTCCTCGGAGATGCAGGGGCTTCGCCAGGGGCGCGGGGGCCGGCTGGCCTGCCTGTCCTGCCAGCTTCCTTCCCGCGCCCGCCCCGGGACCCCGAGCTGCCCCACAGCGCTGCGTCTGGCCGCCCCTGCAGGTGCCTTCTGGCCGGTGCCGGTCACGCCGGCTCCGCCCCGGCCCCTCACCGTGGGGCTCGGCGGGGCGCCCCTGGGCACCCTGGAGGAAGGAGGAGTGATGCGGCCGCGCGTGAGTCCCGCTCGGGCAGCGGAGCTTCCAGGGGACCCGCCAGCGCCACCATCGCCCGCTTGCTGCCCGGTTCCCAGGGGTGGGCAGGGCCTTGTAACAGCCCTAATTCAGTCTCTGTCGGTGTTTGAGGTGGGTTTTCTACTTGGAAGTCTTTTTGCTCTAACGTGCATTTCAGGGTATCCCTTTTTCTCTGAGTGCTGATTTGGTTGCCTTCAGTAAACTCCAGACAAAATGATTCATTTTCTTTGCCTAGACTCGTTATTTCATGAATGACACAGGATGTTGAGTTTCTGATCCTATGATTTCTCCCCATTTATAAGCTGGAATTCTTCATTATATGATTACCATGGGATAGAGTTTGTGTATAAAAAATTGGATAAATCTACTTTCCCCTTCTCATGTTTAAAGTAATGAATCAGCTTCCTCCAAAGGCCAACTAATAGGGTCTGTGTTTTGCATATTTTTTCTGTAAATGAAAAAAAGTTATGATTGATAAATACATAAAAATTGCTTCCGCTGTACTCTGTACACTTGCATTAGCTATATCCACACATTGTGAAATGATTCCAACAATCCGGTTAATTTACACACCTGTCACCTCACATAGTCACCCTTCTCTTGTGATGAGAACACTTGATAATCTACTGTCTTGACCAAGTTCAAGCATTTAATACATTATCAACTACAGTCACCATGCTGTGCATCAGACGCCAGAACTTACCGTTCCTGTGGCTGAATGCTTGTACCCTTTAAGCAACAGGTCCCTGTTTCTGTCACCTCCCCCAGTCCCTGGAAGTGTGTGTGTTGGTCACTCAGTCATGCATGACTCTTGGCAACCCCATGGACTGCAGCCCGCCAGGCTCCGCTGTCCCCAGAATTCTCCAGGCAAGAATACTGGAGTGGGTTGCCATTCCTTGCTCCAGGAGACCTTCCCCACCCAGGGATCAAACTCGGGTCTCCTGCATCGCAGGCAGATTCTTTACCGCCTGAGCCACCGGGGAAGCCCAGTCCCTGGAAACCACCATCCTCCTCTCTGTTACCATGAGCTCAGGTGTTTTAGATTCCCCATGTGAGTGAGGTCTCACAGCCTTTGTCTTTTTATGTGTAGCTTGTTTTACTCAGCACAGTGTCCTCCAGGCTCATCCATGTTGCCTCACGTGGCAGGGCTTCCTTCTTTTGTAAGGTTGCATGCTGTTTCACTGGGCTTCTCTGGTGGTTCAGTGGTAAAGACTCTGCTGCCAATGCAGAATCTGATCCCTGGGCCGGAAAGATCCCCTGGAGAAGGAAATGGTAACCAGCTCCAGTATCCTTGCCTGGGAAATCCCATGGACAGAGGAGCCTGGCGGGCTACAGTCCATGGGGTCACAAAAGTCAGACACGACGTAGCGAATGAACAGCAGCATACTGTTCCAGTGTGTATATAAACCATCTCAAGTTTCTGGAGATGTAACCACATGCATTCATCTGCCGATGGACACCTAGGTTGCTTCTGTATCTTGGCTGTTGTGCTTAACGCTGATGCCCACGGGAGTGCAGGTAGCTCTTTGATATACTATGTTCATTTCTTTTGGAAACAATTCCAGATATGGCCTGCTAGATTGTATGGTAGTTCTATTTTTAATTTTTTGAGGAACCTCCATACTACACTCCATGAGGGCTGCACCAATTTATATTCCCACCAACAACATACAAGGGTTCCCTTTCCTCCACATCCTTACCAAGTTTCTTATCTCTTATCTTGATGATGGCCATTCTGAGAGGTGCAAAGTGAGACCTCATTGTGGTTTTGACTTGCATCTCATTGATGGTTAGTGATGTTGAGCACTTTTTTGCATTGTGCCTGTTGGCCATTTGTATGTCTTGGGAAAAATATCTGTTCATGTTCTCTGCCCATTTTTAATTCAGTTGTTTGTATTTTGCTACTGAGTTGTGTAAGTTCCTTATATGTTTTGGATACTAACTCCTTATCAGATAAATGATTTGCAAACATTTTCTTCAATTCCCCAGGTTGTCTTTTTACTCTGTTGACGGTTTCCCTTGCTATGCAGAAACTGCTTAATTGATGTGGTCCCACTTGTTTATTTTTGCTTTTGCCTCTCATGATGCCATCTGTGCTGAACCTTTGTTGGGAGTTTTTTGACTCAGTCTGTTCAGATTTTGTGTTTCTTCATGATTCAGTCTTGGTCATGTGTGTCCAGGACTCTATTTCGTCTAGGTTCTTGTGTCTAATAAGAATATACCCATTGTCTCTGGCTCCCGGCACGGAGCCCCTGGAGCCCTCGGGACTTCCTTAGTGATGGGAGTGCCTGTCATTCACTGGAAGCCCCGTTTGAGCGCCTGAGTGCCTGCTAACCGGCGACTCAGATGGGACCCCTGGAGCGTCTCAGGATGGGGCTGGCCATCAGCAAGACTAGTGATCAGAGAGAGCTCTCAGGCTGACCCGCTGACATCTGGGAAGGGGGAGCTGCAGACTCAGCTCTGCAAAAGCTCTTCAGCAGCGAGGGTTCGTGAGTGGCCAGGCTGCTGGACCCGTGGAGACTCAAGGAGAGCGGGCGGCTGCGGGGGACATGGAAGCCGTGCACCCTGCACACGCCTGGCCCGTGTGTCTCTCCCATCCGGCTGTTCCTGAACCACATCCTTTTACGCTAGAGCAGTCATCTAGGGAGCGACATGTTTCCCGGAACCCTGTGAGCCGCTGCAGCAAATTGGTCAGCCCCAGCGCTGAGCCTCTGCCCTGCCTCCAATCAGTCTAGAAGCCCCACTGACAACCTGGCTTGATGTTCTTGTCTGAAGTTGAAAGTGGGCAGTTGAAGGGCTGAGCAGTAAGCCCTGGGGTCAGACGCTAACTCCAGGCAGACAGTGTCACAACAGAATTGAGTTAAATTTCTGGGATACCCGGTCAGTGACCACAGAGAACTAAAAAAGTTGTCTGGTGGCATTGAAAAAATACACATTGGAGTTTTCCAACTTGTTGGTGCCAACTAAAAATTGTCCCTCACCATCTGGTTCTGTAAGAATGAGGTCATGAGCCACCGCAGTCACTGATCTTCAACACTCTCTGAAAGGAGGTCAGGAATGAAGCACTCTGTGCTCTGGGAAAAAACTAGCAGAACAAGCCTTCAGAGAGAGATTTATCAGGAGAAGAACTGATGACTGGGTTTCTTGCTTCTTCTCCTATCTAGAAAAGTACTAAAATCATTAAATGAGACATCTGATTCCTGTGACCAGCTGCAACCTTCTGCCAAAATGCTTCTGCCAACCAAGGCTTGGTTGCTGCTCTCCTCCTTCACCAAAATCACACGCACTGAGCTCGCCTCACCTTTGCAGAGCAGTTCCTTAGAGCCACTGAAATAGCTTAAATAAAACTTAACTCACAGCTCTCAACTTGTGCATTTTTATTTCTTTTTTTTTCAGTTGGCACTGGTATATAATTGTTCATAATAGACTTGTATGATCTGTGCATTTCTGTGGTATCTGTTATGATGTCCCCTCTTTCATTTCTGATTTTATTTGAATCTTCTCTCTTTTTTATTGAAATACACATTATTTTATTATAACTTGCTTTCCTTTTGTTCTTTAAAAAATTATAAAAAAAATTTTACATTGGAGGATAGCCGATTAATAATGTTGTGGTCAAGTCTTCTCTTTCTATCTATGTCTCTCTCTTTTTTCCAGTTAATCTAGCTAAAGGTTCATCAAATTTGTTTCTTTTCAGAAGCCCAGCTCTTGGTCTCATGGACATTTTCTATTGCTTTGTAGTCTCAGTTTTATTTATGTCTGCTCTGACCTCTGTTATTTTCTTCCCATTGCTAACTTGGAACTTAGTTTGTCCTTCTTTTTCTAGTTCCTTGAGATGTAAAGGTTCCTTTCTTGAGGCCCTTCTTTTTTCTTTATGTGTTTATTGCTGTAAACTTTGTCTCAGGCCATTTGGGCTGCTATGACAAAATACTGCAAATGGGGTGGCTTATATACGACAGAAACTTGCTTCTCACAGCTATGGGGATGGGCAGCTCCACGACGGTGCTGGAGCGTTCGGCGTGCTGGTGGGGGCCTGCGTCCGGGTTCATTGGGGGCATCGTGTGGCTGTTTCCTCATGTGGTGGGAGGGGCAAGGGAGTTCTGTGGGGTCTCTTTTATAAGAACATTAATCCCATTCACGAGGGGCCCACTCTCACGACCTGAGCACCTTCCAAAGTCTCCACGTCCAAATACCATTACATTGGATGCCAGGGTTTCAGTGTAGGGTCCTGGGGCTGGAGGTGGGGAGGGGAACACAACTGTCCATTACATGGGATGCTGTGGTTTCAGTGCAGGACCCTGGGGCTGGGGGGCGGGGGTGGACACAGCTCTTCAAACTGTGTGACTGTCTCTCTTAGAACTGCTTTTGCTGCATCCCGTGAGTTTTGGTATGTTGTGTTTCCATTTTTGTTTGTTTCAAGATATTGATTTATTTCCCTTTTGATCTTTTTCTTTGACACACTGGTTGTAAGGAATGTTTTGTTTATTTCCGCGTTTTTGTGAACCCTTCTATTTTCCTGTTAATGATTTCTAGTTTCATGCCATTGTGGTCAGAAAGGATACTTGATATTATTTCAGTCTTAAATACATTGAGACTTTTTTGGTGACCTAACATAGGACAATGAAGAGTGGAGAATGTTCCATGTGTTTCTATTGGATGGGACATTACATAGATACCTGTTAAGTCCTTCTGATATAATGTGTAATTCAAGCCCCATATTTCCTTATGCATTTTCTGCCTGGACAATCTATCCATTGCTGCATGTGGGGTACTGAAGTTCCCTACCATTATTGTATATATGTCTAGTTCTGCTTTAAGGCCTGTTAATTGCTCCAGTGTTGGGTGCATCTATATTTACGGTTGTAAACTCTTGATGAATTTACTCTTTTGCCATTACATAATGGCATTTTGCCTCTACAGTTTTTCACTTACAAATCTATTTTCTCTGATGTAAGTGTATCTTTCCATATTCATTTTCATGGAATATCTTTTTCCTTCCTTTCATTTTTAGCCTGTGTATGTCCTTGAAGTTCAAATGAATCTCTGTAGAAAGCATCATATAGTTGTCTTAAAAAAAAATGCCACTCAGTCACTCTGTGTCTAGGGTTGGAGGCAGGGTAGGCAGGTAAAATTCAGGAGGCCAGTGGAGCCTGGGTTTCACATAGACAAATTATTTTTAAGAATAAGGATGTCCCAGGTGTCGCATGGATGTGAATACTTCTGAGCTCAGAGGGGCCGATGCTGTGCTGTTCTTGCTGCGGCCACACGATGTCGCTGCAGGACCTCCCAGGAGCCGGCCCTCAGGCCTGCAGGCAGGCAGCTCACCCCAGGCAAGACAGCGCATCCCCCTGAAGTTACAGAGCGAAACGCTTGTATCCAGGTGCAGACAGTGTGTTAACGTGTCCAGAGAACTCCTAGTAACTGCCTATGGGTGGGCTCCCTCCCCAGGGTATGAGAGGACTTGGGTTTCCTTGGGGATCTTTAGAGTAAGCCTTTACTCTTGTTAGGGATTTTCCGGTGGCTCAGACGGTAAAGAATCTGCCTGCTATGCAGGAGACCCAGGTTCCATCCCTGGGTGGGGAAGATCCCCTGGAGAAGAGAATGGCTACTTACTCCAGTATTCTTGCCTGGAGAATTCCATGGACAGAGGAGCCTGGCGGGATGCAGTCCCTGGGGTCGCAAAGAGGGGGACACAACTGAGTGACCAACAGTTTTCATTCCCTTTGATGCCTTCAGAGTCACTGAGTCCTGCAGAGGGGTCTCAGGCCTGAGCAGGTGAGGAGGGGCTCCCGAAAGCTTCCCACTGAGCCGTCAGCAGGGCCTCGGCCCTCTCTGATGCCCACCCAGCGATGAGCAGTGTCTGAGCTGCCCCAGAGGACGGTATTTCTGTGGTGCACAGATGGTCCTGCAGTGTTACACACAGCATGTTAGGCAATCTTAGCTTTCTGAAGGAGAAGCACGCGTGTTTTAAAGTCCTTCCCCTGCTGCACGTCAGGGACCTCACCTGTGGACGCATTCTGAGTGCTTCCTTGCAAACACCGCTCTAGAGTACCTCTCGAGCGCATATATAATCCCCTCTCTGGAGTCCTAATGCTTCTCCCCGTAGACAGATTTACGCATCTGCATGTCAACACACAGCTCTGCGCAGAATTATAAAGACCCCCGGTCAGCCTGTGGTCCTCAGTCTCCCCGCTGAGGACGCCCTAGCAGAGAGGCCGGGGGACACGCAGAGAGCAGCACTTCCTCCGCACTTTCCGGCGGGCGGCCCGTGGGACTGGGAGGGCCGATCATGGGGGTTTTCAGTCCTCAACCACCTGAATGCGAAATAGATTGACAGCAAAGGGACAGGGCAAACCGTTTTGTTTTTTTTTTTTTAAGATGGCAGAATACTGATTTATGTGAGGAAGGTAAGTTACAGACTTGTAGAGAGTAATACAAGTGAGAATAATCACAGCAATGATTCACTTGCAGTGAACAGAACCTGCAGAAGAACAAGCATCAGTGACCAGGCTGGTCCCACGACGCTGGTCCTCCACTAAACTACTGGACGTTGTCTAAACATGCATTGACACAGGTAGTGATGGACCAATGGATGTCACTGTCTCCAAACTAATCACACAGCTGATTCTACCATCTCCCAGAGGGCTATATAAGAACTGAACAAACAATTCTGCAAAGATGTGGAAGCAGAAAATTCAGGGATCACCAGAAAGGGAGAGTCAGCCTTCAGGTGTGGTCCTGTGCCCTGAGAGGCAGGGCTGGGTCAGGCAAGCGGACAGAGACGGGGGGACCTGGCACCTGAGCCTCACACATCAGGGGCAGTGATGGTGGTGGGTGGTGCTTGGAGCCTTTCTTATTGTCGGGAGACACTCTGAGTGTCCTTCAGATGTGCCTCACTGGTGCTCACATCGGATCCTGGAGATGGGGGTAGCTCTACGCCCCTTTCTGTGTGATGGGACCGTGGCCCCACTAGGCAGGCACTCAGAGCCTGGACCACATAGGAGGATGCTGGCCGGGCCTGGCTCCTGGGGAAGAAGGTGGGGGACTGCTGCTGTCCACAGCTAAGACAACCTGTAGGTGGGGTGGGGGCTTACACTGGAGAACTAGGTACCAGAGGGAAGATGGACTGGGTTCATACAAAAAAAAGTGACTGAATTTTCAAAAATGTAATCTTCAGCAAGTAAAAGGAAAAAATGAAATCTGTAGCACAGCACATATGTCAATTTCAAATAAAAACATCTAAAGATACGCTGTGTGTCCCAGATCTTCTTTCTTGCGGGAAATTGGGGGAATCAGAGGAGTCCAGCCCCTCGTTAACAGGGCGCCAGGATGGGAATAACACAAACCAAGGCAGGGAAAAACAGCTTTCAAAAGCAACTTATGACGCAGATTTGACGGTAATCTCCTGGTCCCTTTTAGAAGATACCAGGAGCATTAGCGAGGGGATGAGAGGAGATTCCGCAGTTCACAGTGTACACTCCAGCATCCGTTGCTGGTCCCTGCTCTGATCATCATTTCTCATCACTCAGGATTAATCCCCATTTTATGGGTTCCCATCAGGGCCTCTCCCATCACTCTGCTTTGATGTGAGCCGGTCCCCAGGGATGGGTCCTGTCAGGCTCTTCAA